ATTACGAACTAAAATTAGTGGTCCCTTTGAGTTCGTTATTACCATAGTTTACTGTATATCAAATTCACATCTTCACCCACACCACTCACTCAAGGTTCTTATCACTGAGAGGAGGCATGTTATGTGACAATAACTATCAAGTTGATAGGATCTTGTCAGCCATTATTTCACCACCTGTACCAGGTGTGAGAAACAGTAGGTTCCACCACCACTATTGCCCAAAGCAATGGAGAGATTGTTCATGATAAAGGGTGAAGTGAAACGCCCAATATTTAACATTGATGTTGGAGGAAATGTTAAAGGCGTTACAGACTATAACTGGCCCCGTGGTATACTGGGTAGAGCACCAGCACAGATATAGCAGTAGGTCGGTGGTTCAATCCCTGGCCACGGCATACTAACAGATGTTAAAAGATTGTACTTGTTGCTTTTTACGGCAAGCATGGGTTGCTGAAGACCTATTCTCACCCGGAATCTTCACGGGACTCATCACTGGATCCATTTGGTCACCTCAAATGACAAGCATAGGTTGCTGGGGACATAATCGTACCCAGAATCCCCATGGGGGCTGTGATGTCTTCCTGAATTATGAAGATATATGTAAAACAGCATAAAACTCTACTCGTGCAGTCAAGTTGTATAAGTGTTAAGGTCATTCCATGAGCTGGTACGACACAACTGTAAGAGGGGAAAGGGGACATTTATCATTAACTGTCTTAGAACAATATATCAAATTATCAATGTATTGCAATTGTTTGCCCTACGATAGTACTAAATCAATAGGAATTTAGAAATGCCAATAGTATTGTCGATAGTATGAATAACAATCGATAATTTCAGTACTTGCAGTTAGTTATTAATAAAACATAAAATATGAAAATTTCAACCTACCTACATCATGTACATGTTGGTGACAACAATGAGACAACTTTCAGATTAGAGTTACTTCCCTTTGTTTTGTATAGCGACAGGGAAAAAATGTCTGACTTTGAGATTGTCAGCAATAATTTATTCATGTCTATTACATTAATTCATATCATTATCAAGCCTTACTATGCAGTGATATAACAGGAATACTGTCCAAAGTGGTGATAACCAACTCACAAACTCAATCATCAAGCCTTAAAGTTGGTTAACTACTATTGCAATACTTTTGCAATTATTGACAACTATCACAATACTATTGCAAAAGTGTTGGTTCATCTTGCAATGCAATCGCAATAGTGAATATAGCCCAAGTAGTCACCTCTCATTTGTATGCAGTTAATGTATCAGCTATGATTTTAATATTATTCATTTTGTTGAAATTACAATTGCACTCATTATAAATAATCAGTCTGGCATGTCATGAAATAATACATCCTTACAAAAGTTGAACATTATGTGATATAATGAACTTTCAACACTGCGTGTTTATATTTCCTTTTCTTATGGAAACAATATTTATTTGATAAGAAATTGAAGATGTTAGTCCAACAATTTTGTGTTTTCTAAAATGTAAATTGTGGTAATAACTTATATTTGGGGCAAAGCAAAACTGTTTTTAGACTTTTCCCACCTGATACAGCTATATTGATTGGATGGGAAGATAATGTAGGAAGTGCCAATTCCACAGTATTTCTCATGGGGACACTTTCCTATTTTCATAGTTTCCCATGATTCCACAGTATTGACACCGTGCCAACAGTGATGTAATTGCAGTCGCGAGCATCTTGGAAATTATGCGGAAGCAATGGTTTCTAATAGTGTCCAGCGCTAATTTTCCCTGAGACTCTCTTATTATGTTTGTGCACTGTGGCCATCTTATTTCTCTTAGGATGTTGCCGAATTTCTTTGTTGCCGAATGTCTCGAAGTGAGATGCCGGACGCATATGGAGGGCTGTCAGAGTCACTGATTGATTTTTATGGAATTTGGTTGTTGATGATGCCATTTAAATGAAGACTCTTGTCTTCAAGGAGATGGGTTGACCCCCAATTTTCACCAAGATTCGGCACTTTCAGGAACTATTCTCTGGGAATACGATGTCATATTGACCTTGGTGGTCCAAGTCGATTGGCTGATATTTAGAATGATAATGATATCCAGCATGTTTCCTTCCCTTCCAAGAATATACAACAATATGGACTAAATGGGGCTCCATTTGGCCAAATGTGTTTCTTATGAGGTGGCAATTCCAACATATGGTCGTCACATACGGTTGACACACACGTGACCAGGATGGGGTGTGCGTTCACTATGACTGCCGAGGCTGCCAAGGCCCGGGCTTCAGGTATTTTGCCGGTACCTTGTGTATTGTAAATGATCCCTTCCATACATATATCAAAACTTCACTTTGGAATATCACTGTAAGCCGGTAATTTTTAATGTCGATATTTTTTGATACAAATTGATGAATATTGATTCTAAATTAATAAGTCACTGCCGCAGAAACTTTTACATTTATCAAGATAACATTTATTAAGATAACTATGGTTCAGATGCACAATGAGAAGGCAAAATATTCCATTTAAAAAATTTAATGGATCAGCCTAGTTTATATTTAACATTAAATTGCAGGTCTACATTGGTAATTTTTATCTCTACACGTACATAATAATTAATCATATTCTTTATCAATGTATGGATATATATGTATATATATCATGATACTTCTGAGGCAATACATCATTGTTCCAATTTATGATCATTGACACCCCTATATCTGTACTTGTATAGTGTCATAAAAATACTGTCTTTGATTTTTGTCAGATAAAATGTAAGTTATTGACCTTTGAAAAGCTAATTTCTATCATGCTAAACTGATCTTCCAGATCTTAGTGATCTTAGCACATTGCGTGCCGTAATCCTTTTTTAAAGTATAGGAATTACAATCATCTTAGCACTTTGTGGAACAGGATGCTGGGTAAACTTCGGCCAAATGAAACATCTACCACATCCCTGAAGACTGATTATTACTTCTGACAGTAATATCCTTGCAGTGTAATTGAAGTAATGCGTTTTTCATCAATGTCAGAGTTGGCGTTTGTAGTTCTAATAACTGTCAAAGTATATGGTGATTGCATACGTGGTATAAAAGAACTCCCATTGTCTTCCCTATCAACTAACAACATATATCATAATAAGGCAGGGATTTTCTTTTCATTTGGAAAAAGTTTGGATAAATTTGATAAGAAGATTAGTAAAACAAACATGTAGTTTAAGGAAAATTTTAATTTTATAGTGTTTTGCGGGGTTATGTTTATATACCATATAACTTCAGGTTGGATGGAAGTAGAAACTGTAAAAAGTAATAGGCCACAATAAATTATTTATTTGATTTCATCCAAATTTATCAAGATTGTGGGGCTTGAGGCATTTCATTATATATTTTATACAATGAAATGGCTCGGGCCCCACAGCCTTGACAAATTTTAATTTCTGGCATGCCCAAGGGACGCAACTCTGCACAGCAAGTCGTGGCATCTTGGATGACTGGGCCACCTTTCTCCCCTTCCCCCCCCCTATGGGTTGATATGATTCACTTAAAAGCATGACTGCTTGGTTTCAATTCAAGTAAAGAAATAAGCCACAAAGCATTTTTTCCTGTCTGTAGTCTGTACTTGGGGACAAAGTGTGGCAAGGTGTTTTCTGTGGAGGCAGATATGTATGAAAATATAATAATTAATTTATTATGGCCTTAATGTAGTTTAAAGATATGCTTAGCCTGCAGCAAATTTGCAGTGTATGTTGCCGTCCATCATAAAAACTACACTTGGTGTCTGCTGAGTCAGCTTTATGAACTAGATCAATCAAGCAGTAACTGATTACCTAATTACATGGAGACATTGCCTTGTGTCAGTGTCCCACATTAACTGTGACACATAGACGTAATCTACGTGCATGGGCACCAGGACGTTTATGAAACCTTGTGGTTCAGTCTGTGTGAAGTCATGACACCAGACCTTGTTGTTAAGCTTGTATGAAGTCACATGACACCTTGTGTTTCAGTTTTAATGAAGTCATGTGATACCTTGTTCAGTTTGTATGAAGTCACATGACACCTTGTCGTTCAGCTTGAATGAGGTCACATGTTACCTTGTACATGAATTTGTAACACCCCAGACATTGTACTATGGGCCTTTGGTCTCATCAGTACCATGAATAAAGATTGACTGACACCTTGTTCAGCTTGTATGAAGTCACATGTCACCTTGTGGTTCATTGATGTCTAATGACACTTATTTGGCTTCTTACGACACCCGCTGTGCAGAGTTGCGTCCCTTGGGCACGCCAGAAACCTATGATTGTTGGATTGAATCCCAGTTTGCCCCGATTATGTTTCTAGGTTTGTCAGCACCATACCCGTGCTCATCGGTTTCACAGTGTGGTAAATGTCTGAAACCTGCATCACTTCGGGTTTTCCTCCCACATCAGGCTGACACGACATAATATAACTGAAATACTGTTAAAAGCCGCTTTAAACCCAACTCACTCACTCTTACGACACCCATAAGATCTGTCATGACAAATGTATAACCTCTCATGTCACCTGTAAACCTTTCATGACATCTGCATGCTATATCACAGGGATAGATATTAACCTAGAAAGTCTATGATCCCCAATAGTGATAACATATAGGAACATCCCCAAAATGTTTGAAATTTTACTTGTCCTAAGGGGGCAGTGGGTTAGCCTAGTGGTTAAAGCGTTTGCTCGTCAGGCTGAAGACCCGGGTTCGATTCCCCAAATGGATACAATCAGTGAAGCCAATTTCTGGTGTCCCCTGCCGTGATATTGCTGGAATATTGCTAAAAGCGGCGTGAAATCTTACTCACTCACAAGCCCTAAGGAAACCAGTAACATTAGTTTAACTGGCTCGGGCTAGCGGGCTAGTGCTTATTTCTATCCCTGTGTCATGACAACTGTTTGACCCATTATGATGCACTTAATATTTCATGACATTAGTTTAATCTCTTTTGACATCGACATGACTTCTCATGACACCTGTCTGTGTTTCAGGGAATTCTACAAATCGTGTATCCAGCATTAAGACAGATCGGCCACCCAGCGTTGCCAGCACACTGTCTGACACCTCTCAGGTGAGGGTTTCACTTCCTGGTATTCTCCAGCTTCACCCTGACTTGTTATTATATATATTAGTTTTGAAGTACCATATCTATATTAACGGATTCACCAGAGTGGTTAACATCTTGGACCTGCATCACTTCAGACTTTCCTCCCCCATCAGACTGATCCAAATTGCATGGATCGATGTTCATGATGTCAATCACTGGATTGTCTGGTCCAGACTCGATTATTTACAGACCGCCGTCATATAGCTGGAATATTGCTGAGTGCGGCGTTTAACAACAAACCAACCAACCAACCAACCAACTCATCAGACTGGCGTGGTGATATAACAGAAATATAGCTTATTCTAATATTCTGTTATCGTATGTTTCACTCATCATTCAAGGGGGCATTGGTGGCCCAGTCATCTAAGATGCCACAATTTGCTGTGCAGAGATCAGGCATGATCTATGATCGTGGGTTCGAATCCTGGTATTACCCGATTAGGTTTCTAGGTTTGTCAGCACCATACCTGTGCTTGTGGGTTTCACCAAAGTGGTTTACATCTGAGACCTGCATCACATAACTGGAAAACTGTTGAAGATGGCATTAAACCCAACTGGTGTAATATTTTGCTAAACTGTACAGTCTGTACTGAACGATGTGGCTAAAGGGGAATAACTCTGCATGATGAGCAGCCTTGTTCATTGGCCTTCAAGCTCATAATTTCTAAACTTATTTTTTACAGCAAATGTGTAAGAAAACAGTGTGACAGTTAAATTGACTGCCTTAACTGCAAATTGCTGGATATTTTCCAGAGTGTTGTTTTTTTAAATGTCAGTCGCAGCAAAGACACAAAAGTTAACTTGTTAATGATTTGAAGAAATAATATACAGAAAGAAGGATTGTAGTTCCTATACACAAATATGACATTATGGGCTATTAATCTGTTTTCAGGGATCTGTTAAGGTTAAAAATGCCAAGAATAAGAAGACCGACCTGCCGAAACCGGAAACTCCTCGTATCAAGAAGTACAGTAATGTCAAGAGCTCCATACCACCTCCAGGTAACCCCCACAAACTTGTACCTGATATATCTGTGTGTACCTGATATACCTGATATACCTGATATACCTGTGTACTGTATACATATATATACCTACACCTAACGTCACTGTCAATATCCTTACGTTCATTCATATATAGTTCAGTACATATTGTAACTAATATCATATTATTTATTCTATGTATTTATTATTTATTATATATATTTATTATAATGTATGACATATACAACTGTTATACCCTCCTGTTATGCATGATGCAGTGAAGGATGCAAAGCAGTTGTTACGAGAATTTTATGACATATGCATGTCAACTCAGATGAAGAAATGCTACATGCGCAACCTGCATGGCAAATTAACATTTAATCACGTTGCAATTATGATTTTTTTTGCAAAAACTGCAATCTGTTCTGAATCTTTGAAATCCAAATTATGTAAGTCATAATGTATGGTTTTAAGAGCGTCTTCGTCAAAACTGTTAAAAATATTCTATTATTCATTATCATGAATTCATAAGTAACTTCCTCCCCCGTGGGGTTTCTGGGTTAGAACTTGTCCTTTGTCATAAAAGGCAAGGTCAGACACAGTCACTTGATTGATGGCATGACATCGTACCCCGACGGAGTGGATCGATGCTTACAAAAATAATCACTGGATTGTCTGGCCCAGACTTAACTATTCTCAAGCCACTGTCATAAATAGGAATATTGCTGAGCGTCGGGTTTAACAAAAAGCAAACTAACGAGTAAAGCCCTGTTGGGATTCCAGGGCAGAATATGTCCCCAATACCCATACTTGTCTGATGAGCCTCTGAAATAGGTATTGACAGGTCACAATGGCAGCACAATATGAGTAGCACGTGGATCTGTGACGTTGGGAAAGTCCAACTCAAAGCACGATTCAGTTGATCTGTGCTCACACGATCATAGACCGCTGCTCATTTTGGACAAGTGGTTTATGTAAAATAACTATATTTGGCGATAAAACAACTGGATTTAGATTGTTACAAACGGACTAATGGCCGTGTTTATCCCAGAGCCAGGCATGACTGCGAAAGTCTGAATGGATATTGCTTGTTATGGCTTTCCACTTTATGCATTCACTCAGCTGCTGCAAGGGAGTAGACTTTATGTCGCTTTAGCAATATATAGGACATTTAGGATTTCTCGGTTACAAAATCAGGATGAAATCAGGCTCTAAGATGAGGATATCATGCATGTATCTATCGTACACTTCTATCATCCTCTTTAAACATATCTTTAAACAATGTAATAAAATACTCTTTCATTACGTTGTGGAAGTTTTTGGACAATCTGTCAGCACATGAAGGTGGAGTCATGGAGAAACACGCGTCTAATGTCAACCACGTTTACATATGTTATAACTTTTAATTTAGCACCCAGGAAACCAGCTCCATCTAAAACATCTCAGAAAAAATCACCGGAAACATCTCACAAAGATGTTTCTAAAACATCCCCTAAGAAAAGTCTGAGTAAGTTTGTCTAACAAGCTTATTACCCAGTAACCTGCATGGTTGTTTGAAAACACATCTGTGAGTCACATACATTGGGGTCATTTTCTGATTTAATTATGTAACAAACATCGATAAAAAATTATTTCTGTAAGGCAAGACCAATTTGGAACAAATTTACCAAGATGCAGAAGGCTAAATAAGAACATATGCTTGTTTTTGTGTTGATTTTAAAACAATTTACTTGCTCAAGAAGCTAATTTCGTTGATATTTCCTAAAATATATCTTTAAATAAACTTAAAACAAAGAAATATGCATGTTTTCAATTGTGTCAGTTGCTCCTAATTTAACTCACGTAAGATATTGGCACACTCATAGAAACACAAGAAAATGTATTGGTCTGGCCTTCCCTTCAAAACTGAAAAGAAATATGAACTGTATGTGACTCAGGAAGCATGCTTTGTATATAGTCTCTCAACCTGATTCAACAAGCCTCCTTCTCGCAGTGATGTAAGGGAGACAACTCTTCCTGGCTTACAAGCTTTTGCCTATGCTGTCAGGAGAAGTTATCCTGAAGACATTCATATGTGTATTATTGCTTGAACAGTTTCTTTCATTTCAGTATTGTATTGTTGTTTAACTTTGTTGTGATTTTTAATATATTCTTTCAGCATGAAGTGTAAACCTCAATATTTATTCTGATTCATATATGCCTGGTTTAATTTTGTCCATGTTATGTGTTGTCCAAAGTATTTGTGTTCTTCAAAAATATAATCTTGCATGACAGTATGCATGATTGTTTTGTTTCAATTAAAATAAGATCAATATAATTTTTTATGTAATTTTTCTTATATATGATTAATTCTTTATGAGTAATAATTGCATATTGCAGTTAGAACTAGAAGGTGCCAAAAGTTTTGCCGTAATCTGCCCAATCCTTTTAATACCCTATGCTTTGCTTAATGACCATACAGCATTTCATTCCTGCGATAGTTTTGACAAATCTAGCTTTGACAGTCTCCAATCATTGCTAAATTCATTTGCTGCTTAAAAATATAGGAATCTGTTATGTCCCATATATTTCACAATTGTTTGCAAACAAGACCAATTTCTTTAGTCTAGTCTTAGAATAGTAGTTTTGGTGCTTTATTTGACTTTGCAGTTTTGTATAATGTAGTATGTGATAGTCGAAGTGCCATGTGTTCATTGTTGATGCACAGTGATGAAAGGATGCAGATGGAGACGATGTATAAGGCATTGCGTTGTACAAATACTATAACCATCTCAGATGAAAGCACAGTAACGTCTTGCTGAACTATCAACCAGGACCCTGTAGGGGTTCCACATTGGAATAGGTCTCCAGCAACTGTGCTGGTCGTAATACTGTGGGAGTCCTGGGTTAGAATAGGTCCCCAGCAACTGTGCTGGTCGTAATACTGTGGGAGTCCTGGGTTAGAATAGGTCCCCAGCAACTGTGCTGGTCGTAATACTGTGTGAGTCCTGGGTTAGAATAGGTCCCCAGCAACTGTGCTGGTCGTAATACTGTGTGAGTCCTGGGTTAGAATAGGTCTCCAGCAACTGTGCTGGTCGTAATCCTGAGGGAGTCCTGGGTTAGAATAGGTCTCCAGCAACTGTGCTGGTCGTAATCCTGAGGGAGTCCTGGGTTAGAATAGGTCTCCAGCAACTGTGCTGGTCATAATACTGTGGGAGTCCTGGGTTAGAATAGGTCCCCAGCAACCTGTGCTGGTCGTAATCCTGAGGGAGTCCTGGGTTAGAATAGGTCCCCAGCAACCTGTGCTGGTCGTAATACTGTGGGAGTCCTGGGTTAGAATAGGTCCCCAGCAACCTGTGCTGGTCGTAATACTGTGGGAGTCCTGGGTTAGAATAGGTCCCCAGCAACCTGTGCTGGTCGTAATACTGTGGGAGGCCTGGGTTAGAATAGGTCTCCAGCAACTGTGCTGGTCATAATACTGTGGGAGTCCTGGGTTAGAATAGGTCCCCAGCAACCTGTGCTGGTCGTAATCCTGAGGGAGTCCTGGGTTAGAATAGGTCCCCAGCAACCTGTGCTGGTTGTAATACTGTGGGAGTCCTGGGTTAGAATAGGTCCCCAGCAACCTGTGCTGGTCGTAATGCTGTGGGAGTCCTGGGTTAGAATAGGTCCCCAGCAACCTGTGCTGGTCGTAATCCTGAGGGAGTCCTGGGTTAGAATAGGTCCCCAGCAACCTGTGCTGGTCGTAATACTGTGGGAGTCCTGGGTTAGAATAGGTCCCCAGCAACCTGTGCTGGTCGTAATACTGTGTGAGTCCTGGGTTAGAATAGGTCCCCAGCAACCTGTGCTGGTCGTAATACTGTGGGAGGCCTGGGTTAGAATAGGTCTCCAGCAACTGTGCTGGTCATAATACTGTGTGAGTCCTGGGTTAGAATAGGTCCCCAGCAACCTGTGCTGGTCGTAATCCTGAGGGAGTCCTGGGTTAGAATAGGTCCCCAGCAACCTGTGCTGGTCGTAATACTGTGGGAGTCCTGGGTTAGAATAGGTCCCCAGCAACCTGTGCTGGTCGTAATACTGTGTGAGTCCTGGGTTAGAATAGGTCTCCAGCAACCTCTGACTCAGTTGATTGCATGTCTTTGTACCCTACAGCCTGGATCGTTGCTCACAGTATTGATCACTGGATTGTGTGGTCCAGACTTGATTATTTATAGACCACCGTCATATAGCTGGAATATTGCAGCATTAAACAAGAACAAACTATAGACCAGATTAATACAGCCTTGAAAAGCCCTTGAATATGGATAACTGGTCTTGATAAGGTTTTAAATGTTGCAGTATATTGAAAAGGCCTAACAAATTGGAGATGTAGTCTCATAAGGGCCTTGAATTTTGTGTTTTCATATATTTTCAAGTATATCAAAGACACATCAGTAAGGATATGCAAACACTCAGACATTGCTAACACCGTATACGTAGAAAGTCAGATGATATTTTCACAGATTTTGTTCATAAGATCAGAAGTTTATCTGATAAGGTTGTGTTGTTGAAGGCTATACACCCACCTCGGACTAGTTACAAAATATGTCTTTATAAATGAAAAAGATTTGACATATGCTACAATCTAAACTATCCCATATCCCAAGCAAGTCTAGATTGTTTCAGTTTCAGAAAATGACAAGATTCTGTTGGTTCCTTTCTATTACATATTAAAAGACAATTGAAAAAGCAATATCTTAAAATATTTTCTTTTGAGGGACTAAATTTTGATTTAAATCTAACAATTTTATATTTTCTTTTTAATATTGAAAATGCAAATTATGGCTTTGAAAAGTGCCAAGGTCTTTGGCTGAATTTCTGTATGAACCAAGATCAAGCAGCTGACTGTTGCTGACATTGATATGCCTTATGAAAGAATACTACAAATGTCATAACACCAGTGACCAGTTGTTAAAAAGAAGTACTCGATATGCTTAACATAGTAAATGAAAAGGGAACTTTTGAAGTAAAGAAGTTACCTTTCCTATGTTTTAAAACTGTGTTTACACTGATCCTTCTTGGGGAGTATGTATCTGCAGTATTGTTTATTCCTGCTGTAAATACTCTTAGCATGTTTGCTGGACATGACAAGGGTGAAGGTCACCACATGTTTGTCATCACTGACAAGTGGATGAAAGTTGAGAACTCTCCTGTTTAGAAGTCAGATTGTATATCATAACATTCAGCCAATTAGATTGCCGGATAGTGTCTATTGTATGTGTCTAGAGAGTGTCTAGAGAGAAAAAGCTTGAAATTTAATCTTATTTCAGAAGTATTTGTGTACACTTATCCTATAATATAATTATTTGAGGTTTAAAAAAATATTGTTGGATTATTAAAATGAAAAAGTTATTGTTGAAAAATTTGTTTATGTATTTTCTACTTTTCACTTGTTTATGCCATTTCATATTAAAATCAAGTTAATATAAATAAATATTGCAGTATCATGAAAAAGCGGGTAATAAACAAATATTAATATTTATGGTATTAATAAATTCATATTTCTTTTATGAGTAACTATTATTTAACAAAGCATCAACTGTTTTATAACCATTCCCAGCTGCAATTTATTATTTTTAACCTACTTTTTATGCTTAAAATTTGTGTTTGAAAACTGATATCTTGGCTTCAATTGGCAAATTTAAACAAATGAGGAGCATATGACTGCAGCAGGTCAACTGGGGACAGCCCTGGAACACACGTGGTGGGGAGATTCATTATTTGGCCCCACAGGAAGTAGGAGATGAGTTTAGATAAGATTCTTCAGCAGTGGGAAGGAGGCCCATATATGTCTAGTCCTGCCATTAACAGATGGGGCTTTGCTCCAACTGGTGCAATTAAAAAGACATTACAGGATAGCTCGGTGTGGTTTGAACTGTCAAATTAGGAGAGAGAGGTGCTAATTCCTTAGTCTCAGATATATTTTTGCAAGAATGAATCATTCTAAAAATAAGACGATGCACAACGTGATGTGATTTTTCCCCACAAATAATTATCTCTTTCAGTTTATCACAGGATATATGATTATGATGTGATATTCATTTACATCTAGTGAGAAAAATTCATATCTTTACTATGAAATATATTCTGACATGTAATATACACGTTTTTGCCTATGTATCCATTGAATCCAGTCAATTAGAGGAGTAAAGTAAGAATTGGTGTAATTTGCCTTTCTTGGGTGTTATTGATATGTGTATTTGAAATATCAGTATCAGAACTGACCATTTTATGACAGCGTATAATCACACTAAGAGCAGCTCTTGAGATTTCCAAACACACCATCCTGCATAGTTTATCTTGAACTGGGCATTGGGTAGGCTTGAGTGATTAAGTATAATGGTTGCTGTTCATTCCAAAGGCCTGAGTTGGAAACCTTAGGACAGTGAAGCTTGTAATGTCTATTCTTAACATTCCAATAAAGTATCACATTGTTGCAATATTGTTTTAATAAACCTATCATCCACACATGACTTTCCACATAATTGTAGGTTT